ATTTCCTATAATCTTTATTTTTAACCCATTAAACTCTATTCTGTAAACTACATGATGGTACGTATTTTGTTGTAAATGCTGGTGCTGTATGTAATTTATATGATCAATGTTATTAAGACATGCAACTTTTCGACACAATATGACGAAACCATATCCGCCCCCCCCCCTTTTTTTTTTATAAATGAATTCATCTTGAAAGAATAGAAGAACTTTGTTCTAGTTGTAATTTGAAGGACAAAATAAAAGCTCATATTATATTGGTTGCAATGTGTTTTTCCAGTCAAATGAAAACCGTGAAATAAATCCAATATTTTCCCTTCTCTGACCTAAGACAATTAACGAGGTCAAGACGTTATCAACTAGGGTTAGTAGAAAACAAGTAAGAACGCGTTAATTAAGAAATCATTCATGCAAGCTATAGGATTATTAGAAATTTTTAGCTTTATCTAACACATTCTCGCTTCAGATTTTTTAATTACCGTTTTCTGTCCTATTAAAATCGAAATGATTCATGGAAGCCATAGATTTGTTACTCAGGTTAAAATTGGAATATCACGGCCAATGCCCAACAAACCTATGGCTTCCATAAATTATTACTTAAACTTACAATAATGAATCAATGTATAGGAATGTTTATAGTAAATGTAAAATAAATATGAACAATCAATACAAATCAATTCACATGGTTATTGTCATATTGGTGTATTTTGCACACTGCGTGTCCATTGCACTGTATTATTTCAATATGCAATAAGACAAGAGTGTTTAGCAATTGGATGTTTATATTGATTAAGTATATGTATTAAAGAAGATGTGTTGTATGCGGCAATGAACACCAAAAAATACTCGTTATGGTATATGTTCGGTCATCAACAATATATATTTTCTGTACACTAAATGTTCCAGAATGAAAAAAAAAATTGAAAATCAATTAGGTATACTGAAATATTGCTAACACAAATATATTTATTTAAGTCAGAGCATCGCCTCGTTGGTTTCGTAGTATATAGTGTTTGCCTCGAGTATGTACATTTGCGATTGTTTTTGTTGCAGTTCAGTGTTTCTGTTGGTCGTTGTTTTCCTCTTATAGTTAACGTATGTCCCTCGGATTTAGTTTGTAACCCGCATTTGGTAACGCTTAATCGATGTATGACTACTGAACAGCGGTATACTACTGTTGCCTTTATGTATAACAAACATCACATATATAAACGTATCAAAACCTATTCTCGTCAGCATCATCCACATGACACATGACCCAGAATTAACATTAACTTGTATTTACTTGAAACACATAGACGAAAGAGATCATTTCAAATACTAAGGCTTTTCTACCTCAGGAATAGATTACCTTAGCTGTATTTGGCAAAACTTTTAGGAATGTTTGGTCCTCACTGCTCTTCATCTTTGTATTTTATTTGGCATTTTATCATTTTTTTATTCGAGCGTCACTGATGAGTCTTTTGTAGACGAAACGCGCGTCTGGCGTAAATATACAATTTCAATCCTGGTATCTATGATGAGTTTATTGACCACTACATCTATCTTTCTCTGGGGTTCTGTTGTTTTTTATTTCATGGGCTAACAGTTTAAAGGTAGTTGTTCATTGATTGATTCAAATATGATATTCTATGTTTTGTATATTTAGATATAAAGAGAAAAAAGATAGACGTAAGGGGCCTTAGTTAAATGTCCACGGACTTTTCAGAGCTCCCGAAAAAGTAAACTGATTTCATAGAAGAACTGTCTTATCAACGTATTTATTGTGATAAATATTTGATAAATAATCTACCTAGAAGTATTTATCTTGAAGTAATGATATAAATGAGTAACGAAGAGTCCTTTACTGAAAACTCTGAAAGTGACCAAACAACAACAAAAATGGCGTCGTATGCGGGTAACACGAATGACTGAATAACACCGTTATTATCCAAATAACACTTGTAATGACCGAATAACACTTGAAATTTTAATATTAGCACATATTGGTGACTTTTAAACATTGATTATTAAATAATATTATATTATAAGTGTATTTTATAACATAAAAATGATTAACAGAAAGCAGGTAAGTTCATAAAGATCGTTATAAATTTACTGTGTACATCCAACATGGCGACCATTGTGATTTCCTTGGTCGCCATGTTGGATGTACACACTACATTTAAAGTAATCTTTATGAACTTACCTGCTTTCTGTAAATCATTTTTAAGTTATAAAATACATTAATAATATACTATTATTTATTAATCAATGTTTAAAAGTTACCAATATGTGCTAATATTAACATTTCAAGTGTTATTCGGTCATTACAAGTGTTATTCTGATAATAACGGTGTTATTCGGTCATTCGAGGTACCGGTCGTAATGCCTCAAAAACTGAAAATGATAAAAGTAATGCTCAAAACAGTGACAACGAGTTCTCTGCATCCAAACCCGTATTTATATTAGAGACTGATCTCTTCGGAACTATAAAACCAAAACCTGTAGACTTTTTAAATCATGATGAGTTGTACAGTGATATTGTAAGCGTACTTTCATTCCGCCGTGTATTTATTCCGGGTAACTGTTTTTCACTAGAGAATATTGGATGTAAATAGTGTGAAAGCATCGAGCTTGATATTGTTGTTTTGTTTATATTAGACCGGTTTATTGTTTACATATATAAATGGGTTAAAATTGAAATAATTTTCAAGGAACCAGTTTAATTAATCTGAGTCAATCTAGTAAATAATATTGATGATGACGAGGAGGATATTTTTATAACTCAAAATACTTTATTAATGATCAGGACATTGAACTTGATATACACCAAATTTAAAGAGCAGATTTGTTCCTACATAAAGTTTCAATTATAGAAGCATCCTTTGATATTGACAAAGAAGATATGATTTTATATCCAAGTCGACCGAAGAGCAAATACACAGAAAAACTTCGGCAATCCAATAAATATAAATATTACAATTAGTGAAATTTTAAAAGCATATGATTTTATAGATTTGCATAGAAAAATTATTTAAATCTTATTCGTTAATAAGCATTATTGTGTTATCGTGTGTTCAAAATGAGTACTAATCACCTCATCAATGTATGGATCTAAAGCACTAGTGTAATTGATCCCGGTATAAAATAACTAGTGCAATCATTCCGGTTCAAAATCACAAGCGTAATCATTCCTGGTTCAAAAACACTAGTGTGAACATTCCTTGGATGAAAACTCTCCACTTTTTATATAAATCAGCTATGCAAGTTTCAAATACACTAAAAACTATAAAGCCACATTTTATATATATTTCCCCTTCAAAAAACCTTTTTTCAGAACCTTATAATGACTGGTGGATGTTTTACACTGGACCCGGATAGAAAAACCTAGTTAATTTTTGTTGGTGGATAAAAATCACTGGGGATTTTCTTCCTCCGGACAAAGTACACTGGCGGAAATAAACCACTGTTACATTATTGGCCATGTAGTGGAAGACAGCCATTTGAAAGGTCTTCAAAGGGTTAATGGAATGTGGCGGGTTTATCTTGATAGTGAGTCAGATAGGGAACATTTGATAGCTAATGGTCTCACTTTCAGGAAGAAACACATACATGTATATGATAGAAACCCAAAATTTGTAGTTAAAGAACACATCAACTACTTACGCATCCGGATAAAAAACGTACCCTTATCAGCAGACAACCAAATTGGTAGATATCTTGAGACTGAACATAATATCAAAATTCACAACTTCAATCGGGAAAGGCTACGTATCAACGGATTTCTTACCAACTGCCAAACCGGAGACCGGTTATTCATGGTAAGTCCAGTACCTGGTATACAGCTACCTAGATTCATCAGTATAGGAAAATACAAAGCGCTACTCATCCACAAAGACCAAATTGTAGTAAATCCTAATGCTAAATGCAACAAGTGTTTACAGACGGGACACAAACAGGAGACCTGTGACAATGACTGGGTGTGCAACTCCTGTGGCAAATCAGGTCATAAAGCCAAAGAATGTCAACAACCGATGGACGATCCAGCAGCAGATCAAGATCAGAATGGTGATTCGAATGTTACTGATAGTGTACCTGAAGCTGCTAACGTTGATAACGTGCAAGATGAAACTAAAGATAAGCAACCTGCAAGTGAAAGTAGTGATAATTCAAATGATGATAGCAAAGATGATGAACAAAAATTAGTAGTCTCAATAGAACGTAAACAAATTACTACGAACAATGAGCAGACAAACAAAAAAGACAAAAAGAAAAACAAACAAAAATCAAACAAAAATAAATCAAACAAACAAAATCTGCTCAAGTCAGCTTCTGGACCCATGGATCACTATATGAACTTTAAAGATCCTAAAACTCCAAGCCAATCAACTGGGAAAAGGCAAGCAACAACACCGACCGATGAATTACATAAACGAGTAGTAGAGCCGACAAAACAGAAAACAAATCCCTAACCAGTGACCTAGTTAACTTTAATGTACAGTAGTGTGTTTTTCAATGCACAGTTTTTGTGCATATGTATATATGTTAGTTATATTTTTATCATAACTGAAAAATGTGAAAAAAAATAATTCATTGTGTGATACAATAATATTAGATTGTATACACTCTGAAAGGAAAAATATATTAAATGTTGATATGAAATATTTTATTATGATTATCATGAAAACAAATGAACATGATCAAATAGTTGATCCATTGAAAGTTATTATCATCTTTTTATTAACCAAGAATCCATTCAAAACACGTGTAAATCCCAATCTGAATGGTTCCAGTACGATTGGTAAATTGATTAACTGTAGCTGCGTTCCACATCACTTAGTTGATGAAATCATTTCCTTGAAATATAAAATCCATGTTAATAAATGTCTCAATTCCTCACATACATGTACCATGAATAACTTTAAAACTGAACAAGATCAGCCATATACATGTACATTATCTCACTTAGTTCACCTGGACACAATTAGTATCAATTTCAAAGATTGGCATATTAAAAACACCTCTATTGTTTTAGGTACCCAAAAACTGAAAATTAGTTCTTTCTATATAGTTCATGTATATTTTGTACAAGCTACTTCCACATCCATGGTGATTGCCACTCTAAAATACCTGAAAAGAATTGAAACATATGTAAATAAAAGTTATTTGTTTGTTCTTACAATATAGTTTATATCAAACGCACACATCAATAAACAACTTTTTAAGTAGGTCAATCAATGTAGTCGTCAATGTAAACATGTGTCGTCTGTCAAACACAAAATATCTGCAACTTTATTTAAATGTTCAAAATATTTTCTCTTTTTAATTTGCATTATCGTCATACATGTGACATACCTAACTAAATACAGTATATCAACAGTTATATTCATGCAGACCCTATTCCAAAAATCCGCAAATTTCTCGGTTTTCACCGAATCTAAAAATAGATTACTCAATAAAACAATTCAGAGATCGATGGGAATCATGATAGCGTCTTTCCTGATTATTGGAAAAGTGTATAGTTATTTGAATGATATATTTGTATATTTAAATACACTTAAGCTTTGTTATTCTTATATTAGATGCATAGTATTGATATGTAAACAAACAAAGGATGTTGGATACGCATGCGCTAGTTAATGGTCGACTTTTTGTGACAGCTCAAAATTTTCAGCAAATTTACAGGACAAAGACCATATATCCTTTAATTATTTATCATAGTATTACTCAAAACATTGCTATACATTCATATAATACAAAACATAAACTTTTCCTACCTGGAAATCGTATTTAGCAGAATTTAAACTACCAAACATTTTTGACATTTGGCGGGTAATTTTGTATCGTTTACATTAGAGACAACCCTCACTTCCGGTGCAAAGTAAACAACTGTGCCGACCTCAAATGAGCAGCAAACTGAGAAAATACATAGCCCAACAACCACAAATCCCAAAAGGATTCAGGTATAGGACACCTATATTAATATCAGACAGTAAGGGTTATACAATTCGAAACGCCTGTGCACAAAACGAATTTCCCATCGAATCGTGGTGAAAAGCAGATGCACGTACATCAGAACTCGTTGATATTATCCAAGAACGGATAGAAAAATCAATAAAACGCCATAATCAGATTGTAATATATCTATGGTCAGGAACCTGTGATTTGACCATCAAAAAAGGCAAATATATATACCTTAGAAACAGAGACAACAAGACCATCGAACAAATAGAAAAACAATACATCAGAGCCATTAAAATAATAGAAAAATACCCAGCAGCAGAGATTAAACTTATTGACTGTCCAATATTGTCAATTGTGAGCTATAACAAATACAAAGGCCACAACAATCCAGAAACATTTAAAACAGATGATTTTCAAATAACAAGGCAAATTAAACATCTAAATACCAAAATCATCGAAATAAATAACAGGCTGAACAAGAACACGATCAATATCAATATCAGCAAATACTTCTTTGTAAAAAAGGCAGTACACGTAGGTCCGTCAAGATTACAATTAACAAGAGAGACGGAGTACATCCAGGACAACTCCTAAGCCTAGTCATTGCCAAACAAATATTGATAGACACATACAGTGAGTTTTACCATATAACACAGGAATCTGAACTTGTTACACTTAGGGTGGAGGAAGAAGAACTCCTAACTCTTTTCTAAGAGCACCTACCAAACACAAGAGGAATATACTGGAAGAGGAAGCAACAACCGTGGAATTTATAGTAAAGGGTTTAGGTGAGTTTATCTTATCAGTCTTTACTATAAATTGCATATACGGACCAAGTGATGCTATAACTACCATATACCATAACATCAGCACTCTTTTTCAGCAAGATCCAAAGATTGTTTGGTTAACCTTACAGAAATTCGGACCACATATTCAGAGGTAACTATGATCATACTGTTTTCCCTAATCATACTTGCCAAAATAACCGAACAGGTACACACCAATAGTATTCTGACCAACAATGATACTTGCATGCCTGTACTCGTCAATGCAAAACAGAACACATCAACTGATATACTTACCTTTAATACTTACCACCTATTTAGGAAAAGATGTCTTGATAGAGTCGAAAGCACTAAACAGAGATCACTGTTAGCATACCTGCCAGTCATACTCATAAAAACATCAAATGACATAAATCTCAACCCAGGACCTGAGTCAACTGTGTATCCATGTGGCACTTGTGACCATCCAGTAACATTGGACGATAGAGAATTGGTTTGGACACATGCAATCAATGGTACCATGTGTCATTCCAGTCGATGAGCACTAAATCGTATGATGAATATGCAAATGACAGTGCACTTGCATAGGACTGTACACATGTGGATGTCCAAACTATTCAACACTATGCTATTCATTAATACTTAGCACATCAAACCATTACAGCGTATTGTCTGACACCTCTCTTACCAGTCCAACGTCCTCAAAAAATATGAAACCTTACATGCTTCAACACCGAACACACACAGAAAACCATCAAAGAAACCTGAAACACCACTTAGATTATTAAATGTTAACTTCCAATCAATCAAAAGTAGATAAGGACAAGTACTAAATCTCATAGAAAGCACAAACCTAGATATCATCTTTGGAACCAAAACATGGGTAGACAATAAGATCACTGACAGTCAAATATTCCCTCCTGGATATAACATCTTCCGGAAAGACAGAAACTGTAGCGGAGGGGGTGTATTAGTAGCTATTATAGATACATATATAACAACAGCCGTACCTGAACTACAAACTGACTGTGAAATTGTCTGGTGCAAACTTGAACTCATTGGACACAAAGCCATATACTTGAACTCATACTACAACCCCAAAACATCCAACGAGAATGGGTACTTAGAACTTGAGAAGAGCCTAACCAGAGCGAACAACATAAAAAATGCTTTAATCATCATGGCTGGTGATTTCAACCTACCAGGCTGGGACTGGAAAACCAAATCACTGAAGCCCAATACACAACATACCAACATACACCATAAGTTCACTGACATCCTGGACGATCATGGCTTACAACAAATGGTAGAGGAACCAACAAGAGAATCAAACACACTGGATCTAATAATTACTAACTACCCAAACTGCTTCAACAGAGACGAAACAATACCTGGCATGTCAGACCATGACATTGTCTTTGCAGAGTTAAATACCATACCATCTAAACAAACTCAAAAGCCAAGGAAAATATCCTTATATAAAAAAACAAAGTGGGAAAACATCAGAGAAGATCTCAAATTGATAAATACTGAAATTACCAAGATGAACCATCATGAATGTAGTACACAAGATATGTGGGACTATTTTCAAGGCAAACTTGAAAATACTATAAATGCCAACATACCGCAAAAAACAGCTAGAACAAAAGACGGTAACCCTTGGATTACGGCAGACATCTAACGCCTAATACGGAAAAGAGACAAACATTACAAGAAAAAGAAAAAATCAGCTGATGCTAAGCATAACACCAAATATAAAGAACTGAAAAGACTGGTACAGAGAGAAATAAGACGAGCATACTAGAAATATATAGAGGACATAATAACACCTGATCCCAAAGTAGACAAGCCAAACTGCATGAAACGTTTCTGGACATTCAACAAGCACAAGAGATCAGACGGAAACCAAATACCACCATTAAGGAACAACGGACTACTCCATCCTGACTCAGTTGAAAAGGCTAACATACTAAATAAGCAGTTCCAATCAGCTTTTTCTGAAAAAACCAGCTTCACAGAAATAGAATTCAAAAACCGTTGTGACATGACGAATAACAACTACCCTACACTTCAAGACCTGAACATAACAGAAAACGGAATAGCAAAACTATTATCCAACCTAAACCCATTTAAAGCTGCGGGTCTAGACACCATTACATCAAGGGTGCTGAAGGAATAAGCCATAGACATTGCACCAATCCTAACAACCATCTTCAGGCGATCCTATGAAACAGGTGATTTACCGGTCATATGGAAAAAGGCTAACGTAAGCCCAATATTCAAGAAGGGAAAACGGTTTGATGCAGTAAATTACCGCCCAGTCTCGCTTACCTGCATTTGCTGCAAAATCATGGAGCGCATCGTAACAAGCCACATAATGACCCATGCTGACAAACACAACATACTGTATCCACTACAACACGGATTCAGGAGAGGCCTGTCCTGCGAAACACAATTAATTGAGTTTACTAATGACATCACCATAAACATGGATGCAGGAAAACAAACTGACTGCCTTATAATTGATTTTTCTAAGGCCTTTGATAAAGTAAGTCATAGCCTACTTACACACAAACTGGATCAATATGGCATAAGGACGAAAACCAATAGGTGGATCAAAAACTTCCTCGCCGACAGGAAACAAGTCGTAGTTGTAGAAGGGGAAAAATCTGATACCATCAACGTCGATTCGGGCGTCCCACAAGGATCAGTTCTTGGACCCAGTTTGTTCCTTTTCTACATAAATGACATGCCAGAGGGAATCCGATCAAGGTTAAGACTCTTTGCTGATGATACAATCATATATCTCACAATATCATCGGACACAGACAGCGACCACCTTCAGGAAGATCTGAATGAATTGACAATTTGGGAAAACAATTGGAAAATGGCATTTCATCCAGATAAATGTAATGTTCTTACCATAACAAGAAAACGTAAGCCTATTATAAAAGAATATGTACTGCATGGCCACACCCTCGAATCTCTAAATTCTGCAAAGTACCTTTGCTGCACCATCAGCTCCGACTTAAAATGGAATGAACACATTAAAAACATATGTGTTAAAGCAAACAAGACCATAGGCTTCCTCAAACGTAACTTGAACATCAATAACAACACAATAAAAGAAACTGCATACAAGTCACTTGTAAGACCGACTCTAGAATATGCATGTACAGTCTGGGATCCTTATCAACAAAACAACAAAAACCGACTGGAAATGGTACAGAGGAGAGCAGCCAGATATGTCACTAACAGATATCATAACACATCATCTGTTAGTGACATGCTTAACAAACTAGAATGGAAAACCCTCGAAGACCGTAGGAGAACATCAAGGCTTACAATGATGTATAAACTTGCCAACGGGATGGTGAAAGTTGACACCAGTAATACTCTCATTCCACCAGATAGGCTATCCAGAAACATCAACACAAATGGATATCAAGTACCATCTTGTTGGACCGAAGTGCGGAAGGAATCTTTGTTTACCCAAGGACGATAAGAGACTGGAATGCCCTACCACATACTGCCACTAATACAGGTAGTCTTGAATGCTTCAAGACTTACCTGCATCAGATGAACTAGATCAAGCCAAGATGTTTTTAAATTCACTGTATACTATGATGTATAGCACAAATTCAAATCAATTCAATATTTATTTTTTGGTCTAAATTTTAAATGCGCATCCAAAAAGTGGCAAAATAATCAACTTATTGATGGTGGCCGCGTATTGGTAGACATAGAAGTAGAAAGTTTAGCTCGAGAGTAGTTAGCATAATCAAATCTGTTATTTATTTTATGTTACACTGTTATAATGGTCATTTCTTACAACTATCCTTCTTTATAATGATATTTTTATTACTATATTGTGTCTTTGAAAAAAAAGAAGTTAACAGTGCATTTAACCTTGTGTATATACAAACATGTAAAGAATGAAATCGGTACGTCTAAACACCGCTCAGGACCTCCTGAGTGCACTCAGGACATACAAAGTGCACTCATGACATGAAATAGTTGTTTTAGTGAGTAGTGAAGGTATGCATTCGAAAGATAATATAATTCTCCATCTTATAATTTTTGTTTTGATAAAATCAATCTAATATTTAAGAAGTTATTGAAGTTTTCATTGGCACGCGCCGATTTTATGAAATATGTCAGGCATGACCGATGATTATATTGAATATCAATTATCATGTTGATTAGGTCGTTTGATCTTTGATAATTAGGAGTGATTAGTAATGGTACTAACCTCATACAAGTAAGCTTGGCAAACAAACAAAACCAAGATGTCTTTTGAAAAATAAAGAACAATGAAGATATATTGTTTTAGAAAAAAATGTTAAATAAACTTTTCGTTTTGTTTGTAATAATTGAAGCCATTTGAGAAATATGAGAAATCTACATGTAGTTGGGAAATTTTAATTCAATTTATTTCATTTGAAAATGTTCAAAAATATAGATATAAATTATTGCAAAATGTGGCGATTATTTCTAAACAATTTCATGTAGTAAGATTTGGTTTTACATTGAGTTCGTTCTTGTCCAGTATTAAGATTCCTTGAGCAGTTTTAATGTAAAAGTAAATTCTGAAGAATGATTTGTTGTTAAACAGTGAAAAGAAAATGTCTAAATTTTATTTCTGAGTAAAACGAATGTTTAACAAATCAGCATTTAGTAAGATTTTATTTCTCATTTAAATCGTTCTTGTCCATGCAGTAATACAAGCCTAGAACGAATTTCAATGTGTAAATAAATTCTGAAAAAAATGAATTTGTCTCTGTTTTCTGAAAATAATCATATTTGGGTATTATTTGTAAACATTTAGTAAGTAAGATTGTAGTATGATTCTAAACTAGATTAAAAAAAAATGATTTTTTTATTGTTAAACAAATGAAAAAAATATTTAATTTTGTTTCTCAGTTCTTCCCATGTTTATTTTTGTCAGTTTACTGTCCTCAATAAGTGCTATCGTATATTGAACTCTCGCCATTTATCATATTTTACTGTAAAAAAAAATTATGAACATTTCGGTCCGTTCAGAAAACATGATGTATCATTTCAATGTTGGTTTTCGAAAACAAAAGAACAGCGAGAAAGACTATTTCGGAGACTGTTGATTGACACGAAATCCGTTCATACCATTACTACGTCTTCGTGCACATATTTTGAAGTGCCAAAACCCCAGAAACGTGCTCGTAAAATTACTGTAAGCCAAACCAAAGAAAAAGACCAAGGGCAGCATGTACGCAGCCAAGATATTAGACTTAGCAAATTAATTAAATAAATTCATCTAAATATTTTCATTGTAAATATTGTACATAATTGTCTTCTCTATACCTATGTATATGGTTTATTGAGAATAAAGATATACAAATTCAATAAAATTTGATATTCAGTAAACATTGTTTTTGTTTATTAAGTTGATTTGGAGAGAGAGAACAAAAAATCCAAAAGAAAAGCAAAAGTCGAACTTGTTACAGAAAAACGGCATCTATAAAATAACACGATTTTTTTATTTTCTTTATGCATGAACTGCAGACCACAACAAAATTAATTTAGCCGTCATCATGAAAAATAAACTGAAAAAGTACATCGAAATAATACCCAAATATGATAAATTAAATACAATTAAATACAACAATGATGATGAAGAGCAGAATATAATGGTACAACAGTGCCAGCGTTCTGAAGATCCATAGGTATCCATAGAAATTTTTTTTTTTAATTTTTTTCTCCATAAACGTAAAATTTACTATGCATAATTTAAATTTAACTACATTAAAAAAAAACCTAAAAAATTAAAACATTGTGTTATCAATTTTAAACGTAACACTGTACTAACAACACAATTCAAAAACAACAATAAAGATAATCCAATCAATTTTGTTGATTGAATAATTCACGGCTCAGTAGTTGTGTAATCAGTGACACGTGCCCTCATTATTTTATAAGAATTGACATATCTATCTAAGTTCGATTTCAAATTCTACCAAAATTTAACTCTTAAATAAGTAGCGTGTAACGAATATATACAGCCATCCTGTGTGCAAATGCAATGCTTATAAAGGGTCCTGATTGCACTTTGTATGTCATGAGTGCACTCAGAGGTCCTGAGCAGTGTTTAGACGTACCCGAATGTAATAAGGCATGTTGTTCTAATAATAGTCTCATTAACATGTACTATTGGGTGGGTTATTACACTAATTATGAGTACCATAATTGTACAGTTACATCTAATGTATAAAAGTGAACAGTTCCTAGGTAAAAACAATGAGTGACAATATACATATTATATCCTTAAACTGTCAAGGTTTAGGACAGAAAGAGAAAAGAGAGAGATTATATTTGTGGAATAAGCATCAAAAATGTAATATATTATTTATACAAGAATCCCATCTAATAGAGAAAAATGAACATATTATTAATAGTGAAGTAAAAGGTAAATTTTTTCATAGCTATGGAAGTTCCCAAACCAGAGGCGTTACAATAATGATTAAAGACAGTTTAAATTATAAACTAATATATGAAGTTAAAGATAATGATGGGAGAATGAATTTGATCAACATTGAAGTTAACGATAACATTTTTACCTTAATAAATGTATATGCCCCCAACATTCATACTAACAGAAATAAATTTTTTAAAAGCGTAAATAACATCATAGAAAATAATCGCTTAGGTATCTTAATTTTAGGAGGGGACATGAATGAAACCCTATTAAAGATAGATAGGAAATCAAATAGCTCTCATAAATACAACAAACCAGTAAATAGTCTTAAACAGCTCATTAAAAAAAACAAATTAATAGATATATGGAGGGAAATAAATCCAAACAAAACTCAATTTACATGGAGAAGGAAAAACAATACGAATATAACAAGTAGAATAGACTTCTTTTTGATCTGTCCAGACATAAGGCAACACGTAATCAATTCTGATATAAGACCTGCTATGATATCACATACTGATCACCAAGCCATTTCGTTAAAAATAAGACAAAATCCCCATGGTAGAGGAAGAGGTTTCTTTAAAATAAATAATAGTATTTTAATAGATGATAATTATAAAAACCATATAAACAACCTTATTTTAAAATATAAAGAAAAGGCACTTACCAGAGATTCTAGAGATATTTGGGATATCTTCAAATCTGAAGTAAGGGTCATAACTGTAATGTATTGTAAATACAAGTCATCTGAAAAGAAAAATAAAATAAAAGATTTAGAAATGAACTTACAAAGATTAAATAATAAAATTAATCCTTCAAAAGCAACTAAACATGCTAAAGATGAAATAGAAAAATTGAAAAAAATCTAGAAAATCTTTATAAAAATGAAGTTAAAGGTGCACAAGTAAGATCAGAGTCAAATGGTTAGAAGAAGGGGAAAAACACAAAATTCTTTTTAGGTTTAGAAAAATCAAGACAAACAAAAAAAAAAATATTTCGGCATTGAAATATAAGCAAGGCAAAATCATAACAGAGCCATCAGAAATTTTAAATTTAGAAAAATGTTACTATGAAAATTTATATAAAAGTACAAATCCAGATGTTAATAATATTAAGCAATATGTTGAAGAAACAAAAATAGATCATAAATCAACTGATAACGAGAAAAGCTCTCTAGGCGGCAAAATCTCAATAGAAGAATGCACAGAAGCCATTTTCAATATGAAGCTTAACAAATCACCAGGTATAGATGGTCTAAGTGTTGAATTCTATCGCGCATTCTGGGATAATATAAAAGAACTAGTTGTAGAAGTTTTCAATAAGTGTTATGAGAAAGAAGAATTAACAACATTACAAAAAATAGGAATAGTATCTTTATTGTACAAAAAAATGACCCACTATCCCTAGACAATTATAGACCTATAACTTTACTAAATGTAGACACCAAAGCCTATACTTTAGCCCAACGGTTAAAACCTGTTTTATCGAAAATAATAAATAGTGGTCAGAATGGATATGTAAAAAATAGGTACATTGGTTTCAATATCCGACAAATTCAAGATATCATAGATTACTCTGAAACTTTTAATATAGATGGTGCTTTATTATTTATAGATTTTTCAAAAGCTTTTGATTCACTAGAATGGTCATTTATGTATGAAGCTCTTTTAAAATTTGGACTCCCGCATTCGTTTATTAAACGGGTTAAAACTTTATATAATGGTGTCAAAGGTTGTATGCTCAATAATTGGTGGATTTCTGACACCTATAGCAATCTTTCGTGGTACATGTATTAGACAAGGGTCACACCTTGCAAGGGTGTACCTTGAGTTCGATTATTTTTGTTATAGCTGTAGAGATTCTGGCATGTAGAATAAGACAAGATACAGGTATTAAAGGATTTCAAATCAAACTTGATTCAAAAACACATAGTCTTAAAATCCCACAACTTGCAGATGATACTACACTTTTTCTTAAATCAAAACAAGAAATAAGCCTGTCATTAAATTTAATTGAAGAATTTGGAACTCTTTCTGGTCTAAAACTTAATAAATCAAAAACTGAAGGAATATGGCTAGGTAAATTAAAACATTCTAAAGATAAATATGAAAACATTAGTTGGAATAAAAGCCCCATTAAAAGTTTAGGTGTATATTTTGGGACTAATAAAGTTGAATGCAATAAATTAAACACAGAAAATATTTTGAGGAAGTCAGAAAAAGCAATTTCAAATTGGAAGAAAAGAAAACTTACAATGATTGGGCGAACAACAGTAATAAAAACATTAATTATACCAAACATAACCTTTTTAGCATCAGTAACCAATTTATCGAGAGACTTTCTAACACAATTTAAAAAAACTAATATTTTACTATACATGGCAAAACAAAAATGAGAAAATCAAGAGATCTACTCTGTGTAATGATTATCAGGAAGGAGGTTTAAAAATGATTGATATAGATAGTTATATAACATCAATTCATATATCTTGGGTTAAAAGGTTAACAACAGAAGAATTTTCAAATTGGAAGGTTATACCTTTATATTACTTTAACAAATTTGGAGCTAATTTCGCTCTATTTAACATGAACCCTGAAAATATATATGACATACCAAATTTTAAAAAATCTATGCCAGAATTTTATTTAGAAATATTAAAAAGTTGGTATAAAGTACATAATAGTTCCAAGATAAGCAAGGGGTTAAATTTCAAAAGTGTAAGACAGCAATTAATTTGGGGTAATCAATCAATTAAATTAAATGGTAAAAGTCTTGTTTTTCCAAACTGGATAGAAAGTGACATTTTTTTTTATTAATGATATCATAGATAAACAAGGTAATATCTCCCAAAAAGTAATCTTAAATAAATTGAAAGAAAAATCAAACTGGATAGCAGAACTTTCTAAACTAAAATCTGCAATCAAAAAGGAATGGAAAATCATGTTAAAATCAAATCGATCAATTTCAACTAAAGTTCAAATAGACAGAAATCTTTACTTAGAAGCAAAAACAAAGCCAAATCAATTTACATTAAAAAATTAAAAGCTAAAGATATATATTATATAATTATATCAAAGGTATAGAAAGCGACACACCTATTGGCTTCATAAAATGGAAAAAAATATTCAATCTAATTTCTTCAAATCATATATTAAATGATATATTAAACTTTACATTTCACCGGTTAAATGATAACAAACTAAAAATGTTTAGGTGGAAATTGATCAATTATATATTACCATGTAAGCAACTGCTTTATCAATGGAAAATAATGAAGGATAATCAATATCATATATGTCACTAAGCAGAAAATTATGATCATTTTTGTAAAGAGTGTGAATTTTTACAAGAATTTTGAATTAAAGTTGGGTTACTACTTGATAAAATAAAAATAGGTACACATATTTTATCAATGCAAAATTTAATACTTCATGTACTTGGATACAAAATTCATGACAGTTCATATTTTGATATTAATGTGTTGTTAACAATTGTTTTATTTGCTGTTTATAAAAGTAATTATGCATCAGAGTTAAAACACAAGTACATGGATGTATATATATAGTGTTTTTAAATTAGAATACTTAGAATGGTATGAAAATAGTATACTCTTAGAAAGAAAATGTAGTAAATTTTTGAAAGATACATTTAAATATATCTAATTAACCGCAATGTAATTCAATAGGAGAGGTGTGCAAGTACTCATGGTTGAGTAGTTGTGTGACAGGGAGTGTGAGTCTGCAAGTTGTGTGACCATGTTTTTGTGTAGGTATATGTGTGTGTCTCTGTTTATGTGAAAGTTAAGACATTATACTCGTAGAGCAACACTATGTTTCTCATTTATGTTTTATGTATACTGTTTCTCTGTTTACACGAAACGATTGGCAATACTTTATACCAAGTTAAGTATCAACAAAAACTCATTCTTTATCCATGTTTTTGATCATGTTAACTTACCATCAGAATGTCATCAATGATTGATATATACTCATAATACACCTTATCGCTATTTGTCCGCCATTACTGGACATCACACAGGTTCCCGCAAAATTTTGACGTCATAATACAAAATATCTGACGCCACAGTGGAAAAGTGATTGTTGTATGACGTCAATAGTTCAAGCGGGACGGATTCTCGGGTCAGCCGGGAATAGCGATAAGGTGTATGCTTCAAGTTTTCAGTTTTCTGAGGCGTGTACAAGTTATCGTTAAAGAAAACAAAACAGTTATTTCATTAAATTTAAAACTTACCAAATAAGTTAAGAATATTCCAACACACAAGAATGAATAAAATACATGTGTTCGAGATACATAATAAACATCTATACCACGTGATATACAATTAAAATAAGTAGAAAAACGTAAACAGAGAGAACGTATGTTTTCCGGATTTGTCGCTATGCAGATTTTGTAAACTATATCGATTGTAATATTCTATTAACCACTTTTGAAACTTATAATAAGTTTATCTTGTGAATCCCCTGGTTCATTTGATAATTCACACACAGGGATAAACCTATTTGAGATAGTTGTACCTTTTAGGGTATTTGTTAACAACCAATTGTGCAATAAACTGAATAATTATTAAAAAAAAAAAAGAAAAAAAATAACAGAAAAAGTGTCATTTCTGATTATAGAGGCTACATTGTTTTGTAACTTCAATTTCAGCTATATTCATAATGTCATCTACCTAAATAATTCACCTTTTTATGACAATTGATCTAATCTTTCCAGTCGAACTTGAGGTAAAGAACATCATATATTCAATTACGTCTGTCTAATAACTTGACTTCCATCTAGAAATTTACAATGAGGGTCGAATGGGAATGAAACTATACAAGCTCTTCAATTAGAGAATTTTCATTTTTATGTAGCTACATTTGTTTTATGCACAATCTTTTTCTCTGGGTTTTAGCCAGTAAATCTCATTTGTGGCAGCTTTTTTAAACCAATAAGTTCAAAATTAGTATTTTCTACTTCTCTGCAAGAGCTAGCACGACAAAACGTTGTTAATCACGTTTTAATTAGCGTTACAAATACCTATTATTATTTTATTACATTGTTTATTTCGACAGCAAATGTTTATCCATCAACACATATCTTGCAGTAGTAGCCATTGATTTTGGGACAGCTAATTCTGGATTCGCATTTTCAACCAGTAACAGATACAAGGCATGTCCTGTGAACATATCTCTCATGAAAATAAGGAGAACAACTGACCCTAAGACTAGTACTTCCGTCCTTTTGGACGAATGAACTCGTATCGTTGAATTTGGAAGAAAGGCACAAGATAGATATGCACATATTCAAGCGACATATAAAAAGGACACCTACTACTACTTCGAAAATTTCAGGATGATGCTCTATAACAGTAAAGTAAGCTTTTGTAAAAAATTAACTTAAAGGTATTAAAATCATTGATCAACATGTTGTTGGTTTTCAAAAGTACAAAATTCATGGATGATTCAGGCATATTTTCTGCAAATTTTCAGTGAACATTCGCATCGGGGGTGATACAAGAACAGATATAGCCGTGTTTTCTGTCTTTTATTTAAGTTCAACTCATTTTGTGTTTCTTACCTTGACCTGTCTTTCCAATCAATATATAAGATATGAACATCTGTTAACTACTGGTGCCGCAATTTAAGACAACCATTTTTTAGAATGAAGTTACTGCACTGGTTTACCTCTATCGATCTAATATTAAACGTCAAAATTGTTTTACCTTGAGAATCATTGAATATTGAATAATAATTTCTTTTAAAAGAGAAACAAAAAACACTCTCCGTGAGAGCTAACGAACTAGTGAAGATGATTTTGCTATTGATTATTTGCGGATATTACGCATTAGTGAGAGGTATGTTGTAATGTGCGAATACTTCCTGTTGAATATTTAAACCAAATTCAAAAGCTAATTGTAGCAGAAAAAAGTGAGTTTCATGCATTATGTCTCTTGTTCGTTCATACTTTTATGTTTTCTCTCATATCAGAAGCTTTTAATCATCTGTTTATTATTAAGATAACGCTGAGAAAACTTTGTTTAACGGACATACAAGACAACCCCAATAAAACTATGTTGGCTCAAGATGTTGTGGCTTCTGTAATACAAGCATTAAAGAAAAATGCTTTGGACGAAATGAAAAGAAATGGAACCTCAGCTAGCGAAGAAGAAATAAGATAGGTGCTTACCGTTTCAGCAATCTGGCCAGATGATGCTAAACTTTTTATGAGATAAAGTGCAGAGCAGGTAGAGTACTGCATATTTAATGAACGAAACGCGTCTGCCTTTCGAACAAGTTTTATGAACTCGTTATTCCGCCATTATCTGGCACAGTACGTTTAAGAGATAACTGTATTGTATTTGAAGCTTTGCGGACGTCCATCGGTAGTTTTACTGTCGCAAATTGAGTTTACCTGGCGACGCGTAGCGGAGACAGGTAAATGGATATTTGCGACAGTAAAACTACCGATGGACGTCCGCAAAGCTTCAAATACAATAGAGTTATCTCTATTCTAATGCAAAAAAAAACAAATCGTTGAATTTAAGTCATAATTTCAGTGTAAAATTTTCATTAAACAAAAATTCCGCGAAATAATGTTATCTTCTTTGGCGCCTAAACTATGTAACGTCATAGGTAAGCTTCCGGCATCAAACGTAAACACCGGGCGTTTTCTGGCTTCTTGTCCGCTTCAGACTGGAATAAAATTTGATAAAAAGAAAATTTGTAGGTGCAAAATGTAAGTTTGTTTTGCTTATTATTGGAGAAATTACATGTCAATACATTCCGGAATTCAAAATGTCGTCTTCCTTAGTTACAGACAAGGAGATAGAGGATTGTACGCTTACTGTCATACAATCAGAACCATTGATACAAAATAATTGCATTAGAATTCCTGCTAAATGAAAAAAAAGAGATTGTTTCTCTTTATTCTATTTGATTGCCTTTTTTCAAATTGTAGAAAAAATGCAGACATAAAGTGTACAAATGCAATTAATATTCCAATTAAACTACAGGAATGAAAATGTATTTTAAAGGTAAACTTTATCAAATTACATTCAGAAAGAATACATTGACTTCTAAAAAAGCTATCATTTAAACATATTTGGTAATCAATAAATTTGCGAAAAAAAGATGTATAAAACATTTAACCTCAATTAAAATAAGAGGAAGAGTTTCATTTACATTTAAGGTCATTAAGAATAATTATTTTTTTATATCATCCTTTTCAATGCTTAGCGGTATACGAAATATATTTCTTTAGATAAAAACATAGCTGCAAGATACACATACAATATATATGTAAAATTGAGAATGGAAATGGGGAATGTGTCAAAGAGACAACAACCCGACCATAGAGCAGACAACAGCCGAAGGCCACCAATGGGTCTTCAATGCAGCGAGAAACTCCCGCACCCGGAGGCGTCCTTCAGCTGGCCCCTAAACAAATATGTATACTAGTTCAGTGATAATGGACGTCATACTAAACTCCAAATTATACACAAGAAACTAAAATTAAAAATGATACAAGACTAACAAAGGCCGGAGGCTCCTGACTTGGGACAGGCGCAAAAATGCGGCAGGGTTAAACATGTTTTTTGAGATCTCCCCCCTTTTACCTCTAGCCAATGTAGAAAAAACAAACGTACAACAGTACGCACAGTAAAACTCAGTTTAAGAGAAGTCCGAGTCCGATGTCAGAATAGGAAACAAAAGAAAATAAACAAAATGACAATAATACATAAATAACAACAGACTACTAGCAGTTACTGACATGCCAGCTCCAGACCTCAATTAAACTGATAGAAAGATTATGTCTTCATCATATGAATATCAGGCACAATCCCTCCTATTAGGGGTTTAGTATTATACCGTCATAAAATATATGAGAAGAACATAACCCGTGTCATGCCAACAACTGATTTTAGAATAAATATGTTTAATTCCGATGCAAAGACCATATAAGTGAATCAATATTAAAGCCAAAATATGCAATTTTTAATGACCTGACAACAGTATCGTAACTATATCCCTTCTTAATAAGTCTGTTTAAAGGTTTTGTAAGCTTTTGAGGTGAATACTGACATTTTTGTGCTTTATAAAGAATATTACCATAAAAGATTGGATGTGAAATACCCGAACGTATAAGATGTCTGCATGATGAGTTATATTTACGAATGATGTCCTTATACTGATGATAAAATTTAGTAAATGTTATGACTAGTTTATGATATCGAAAACCCTGGTGTAATACTTTTTCAGTTATATATAAATTTTTCTCGCTAAAATCTAATACGTTGTTACATACACGAGCGAATCGTACAAGTTGAGATATATAAACACCATAAGATGGTGATAAGGGAATATCACCATCTGAAAATGGATAATTAACGAAAGGAAATGAAAAATCATCTCTTTTATCATAAATTTTTGTATTCAGCTTCCCGTTAATGATATAGATATTAAGATCGAGGAAAGGACAGTGGTCATTGTTGGTATTAGCTTTATTTAAAGCAGACATGGGGTAATTGAAATATGTAATTGTAATTGGCTGTAATTAATTACAATTTCTCAAGTAATTGAATGTAATGTGTAATTGAGCATTTTTTCAATTACAAGTAATTGAAAGTAATGAATTACAAAGCCAAAATTGTCTGTAATTGACAATTACTTTTCAATTACAACTCAATTACATTTGAAATTTGGGATCAGAAAGATTGAATCTTGTGTTTTCTCAAAAAATTATGAAAAGCCATGACCTAAGCAACTGTAGTTAGCTGACCAATCAAAGCCTAAACAGTATACCTTCTGTAATTACACAACCATGGAAGATTCTTTATTTTGTAATGAATGAACAAAAAATTAAAAAGAAAAACAAATATTGTAGAAACATGCCATAATTTGTGTTTAAAAGAAACCATTAGTAAGCCACTGTCTTATATCTTCATTAGCTTGTTACCTACATGTATATTCAGATGGATATTGTTAGACATTGATTTAACATAAACAATTTGAAAGGTCATAAGTCAATCAATAAATATAACCTCTGGCTATTTGTTTTATCATAAACTATATAATGACTGTTTTTACAACAGTTATGTTTGCATGTTAAACAGGTGTTAAGCCAATTAGAGAGATGAATATTCCCCTAGGTACATGAATTTTTAAAAATTAATTAATTGTGATTAAAACTACATTATATTTTTTAAAAAATCAGACTTTCCAAATCATTTCTTTAGGAAAAATAATTTTAAAAAGTTGTGATCAAAATAAAAAAAAAATAAAATTTTATCTATAGGGCTCTCTTCTTGTATCATTTTCAATGAAATACATTAAAACATAAAATTTCAATAGGTAATTAAACAAAATTTATTATTTCCAAATATTGAATAAGGCTTTTTATCATTTTGCGCATTAAATTAAACCAGACATCTAGTCCTAACCATTCCTGATAGACAAAGTATTATGTGCACTTCAGATTTATGTTTGTTTTTTCTTTATTCCCGTAACACATCTGATATTTAACTTTTACTCTTCTTTGATACTGGCTGAATTTGAAAATAGTCACTGTAGATCTCATTTGTTATTACTATAAAGCA